TGACCAAAAGACTTCGTTCTACCAGCATGTTGGTACATGCTCAACGGTTGTCAAAGCGTGGTCCTTGTCTATCACATGCCTATGATAGATACAGATACAGTATCTTGATGGAATACGATGGAATTGACAATTCTACTATTATTCCACTTAGTAGAGACCGTCCATTCATATTTCAAGACCACCAGAGGGGCCAAAGACCACGATCTCGAAGCGACCTGCGTTGCGGCAGTGAGAAGCGAGGCGTGTGGCGGCGCGAGCGGTCGATCGGTCGGTCCGTCAAGGTGTGCGGACTGCCAAAGCCGAGGCAAATGCCCAAGCCCATCAGAGCGACCTGAAGTCGAGCCGAGCGATTTCGCGAGCAGCCCATGGCGCCATGACGATGACAGACGAAAGCGCGACAGGAGTGGGTGGTGTTGGATGTTTATCGAGGCCTCGAGGCAAAGCAAAATGGAAAAAAGCGAGCTATACATCATGTTACAGACAGTTGACAAGCCTATCACACGCAGAACCGTGCATGCATTGGATCGATATGCATGTGGTGGCTTCACGAAATACTGGCCTCAGCCGCCATCTCCATGATGTGCGCCAGTGGCAAATATGCCAAATAGACTTCCTGCATTTCGTGGAATGTGCTCAAGGTACGAGGTTGGCCAAGCAATAATGGCCTCTCGCTGGTAACTGCATAATGAGTCAAAACACACACTTGGAACTGAAACGTTGATCGATCACAAAATACCAGTTGCTCTTGTTCCTTATTATTTATATAATGTTATTTCTTGCATGATAACACTCATGGACATGGAGGGTACTGGTATCAGTGTCTGCACGGCCAGGTACGCCGGCGTCGCGCGTCGGTGTCCCCGTGAGTGACCATCCCGTCGAAGCACTCTCCAGCGCCAGCAGCAATCGCCGTCAAATTCCCATGGGTCAGCACGACTCCTTGGCGAGCTGAGCTGATTCATCGAGGAAGAAAACCTTGTTCTGTCTCTCCATGTCTTCTCCATGCACAAATCACAGGTGTTCTGGACGCGCCACCAAACATCTCAAAACGCCATCATCATCCAGGCCAAGGATCCTTTCGGAGTGCCTGTGGTCCCAGAGGTGTACATAATCACTGCAGTGTCTTCTGGAGTTGGGCTTTGCAGCCCTTGGCTGGACCTGCAGCAGTGAAAAGTGGTCTCCAACTCATCACCCCATGTCCATCCCATCCCTTTTGGATTGGAATTTGCCCGACCTGCTGGGTTGATCTGGATGCCTTTTTGAGAGAACGGTAGTGGACGGGCCCGAGCAAGCTTTGACCCCCCAAAGGCTGGAGTATGGGCGTCATCAGTCAAACCGAGCAGAGCTAATCATCGATGACTTCGTTCCGACCCGGATGAGCTGAGCTGTCCTCAAACTCCTCATGTTTCCTAGTAGTAACAAGTGCATCGCTTCTAGTAACAAGTGCCTTACTAGTAGTAACAAGAAGCTATTAGTTTAGATTAAATAGAGAAAAAGAGCTGAGCTGTCCTCAAACTCCTAACAGGATCTATGATGCATCACCAAGACACTCCTCCCCCTTCGCAATGCATTCCTCAGGACGGCATGGCCCAGGTGCTCAAAAACCTTTGACACCCTTGACCAAGTTCCCAACACCCACCAAGTAATGACCAAACGTGGGGCTGAATCAACTAGTGGCTCATGTCAATGCTCGTGATCCCGCGGAAAGCGAACGCATACCGGTGGCTTTCCGCACGTATAGTTGGTTCGCCAGGCTTCGTCAAAGGTCTGGACCTGAACCCCAGCATCCTGCAGCTGCTTCACAACAGCCTCCTCCGCTGGAGACCTGAGGCTGGAACACCATGCTGAAGAATTGTTCTCCACAAAACGCCACATGCCAATTCGTTCCCAGAACGCTGTCCACCCCCCGGTGGCCTTCGCCGTTTTGGGTCGCTCGCCCCGGACCGAGCGACGCGGCACGCCGATTTGGTGCCTCGACCTGTGTGTCTTTCAAGCCTTGTGTGTCGAAAAAATGGCCAATGACGGAGTCTGAACCGGAAGCCTGGAATCATGAGTTCGGATGTTTTTAACAAACAGTGGATTCCATGCAAATTCCAATAGGTTGCCAAAGTCATCCAAAGTCCTTTGTCAACCAAGTGGCAAAGTGATGAGCCGCTTGATGCTCTTGCACCTGGGCTTCTGAGAAAATACAATGCTTGCTGGTGAATCCCCTGACGGGTCCTGTTCGTCCGGATTCACCACACCGACCAGGCTATTGTTCGGTTCCATCTTCAGCTGGCACTGGGTGGGTTGACAAACAAACCAGCTTGATGGGTTGAGGAACCATCCGAGAGGACCGTGGTGGGTTATTGATATTCAAAAGTCGAGACAGGACGTCAACACCATGAGATGCATAAGACTTACAAGACATTGGAACTGCGGTTGCGAATCTCAAATGTGCTGAGATGCTTTGGAAGAACCTTCAGCAGCACTTTCAAGAGCTTGGCGTCAACTACCGCTGTGCTGGCTTGGGTCTCATTGAACCCATGGCTGGCACCATCCTCACCTGAAGAAAGATTAATACACAAATGATTGATGGCAGCATGTTTCTATAGAAACAGTGCTTTCGTACAGCAGATGCCCTTCTTTTTCTCTCTTGAAGAAATCCGCCTAGCGTGGCGTAGATTGTCACCACCTGGCGCGCCGCTTCGCGCCCGATTTCGCCAGGAGAGTGGAGCTTCGATGATTGCTGAAACAACCTGGTGGCTGCCCTTGAAGAGATACAGTACGTATCATCATCATCATCATCATCCCATCCCGGATCCATCGCCCCATCACCCACCACACCCCACCACTCTGCTCTAAGTCTTCAAAATTTGTCTCCGCTCATCTTCATCGGCCTGTCCGTTGAGGTACCAGGTGGCAAAGGCCGCGACCATCCAATTCAATTGAGTCTCCGCAAAGATCACCACTTTGGACTTCGGCTCTACACCTCGGACGGACGCGGCAGCCGCGACCGAAAGGTCCGGGGCATCGAAGGCTGGTCGCTTGGTGGGTTGGTCGAGCCATGTCGAGCCCATCCTTCTTCGATCCTCCACGCCTGTGGCTGCCATTCCCTTGGCCAAGTTCTGGATACGTGCGAAGTACTCCTTGTGTTTCAGCCATTTGTACCTCAACGAAACTCAGTGTGACTCGTTGTCTCATCTGCAACTGAAACTGCTGGAACTGTTCCAAAATGTTCCGTTCGGTTGCAACCGCCACAGCAACTTCCGTTCGGTGTCTTTCACAACCTGCATAACCTGCGCTCCGAGCCCTAGAGCTCTTCTTCGTGGATGAAACGCCAATTGAAGCGTTTTTGCTCCTAGTAGCGATGCCAGGAGCCCCTAGTAGCTTCTTGCTCCTAAAGGTCCTTTTCTTTGCTGAGACACTCATTTTCCAGCTGAATCTTTTCTCGCTTCGCACCACCCTCCTGGCGGTGTCGGCCAATGATGTCCGTGGGGAATAGAGGGGACAATGTGCAAATATTATACTCTTGGTGGTTCACCGGCAGGGATACAGCAATTATATACCCTCTATTCATCACCCTACCAAGTGAAGCTAGCACAGGCTAGGCCATCGAAACGGCTTCCTCGCCGCTTCCAACCGTCCTCGATGAAGTGCACCTTCACCACATCACGCCAGCCAACTGCGTTCTCCTCTGAACGCTTGTCCTGAAGCCGTGATTCCGTGATGTCAAAAAACAACTATATATTCTTGATATTCCACCAGCCAATGAGGATGGATTTGGTGATGCGCGCTCGCTCCTGGATGTTTTGGCTTCAATGGAAGTCCAGGGCGGCCGCTTCTCCGCTTCGCGCAAAACTACTGGAAATGACATGATGGTGGATTGTCAGGAGTATACCTATGCTGAGTGGAGTGATCAGAAGTGACGAGGGCACTCATTCATATCAAGCATTCAAAACTCAAGACAACATACCCAGCATTTAAGGCAAACCATGAATGGGTGCATTGGTGAAACATGGTCAAAGATCGCACCCCACAGCATCCAAAAAAAGCAAGTATCTCCCGCAATTATCCCTCAGTATCGCCTTGATTTTCTCCAACAGCTCCAGTACCGTCTTCGAGCCGCACTTGGGAAAGGATCTGCAGGCATGCGCGGCATGTGTAGATCAATAGCAGGTGAACATAAGCTACAAAAAGAGCGCGACCAAGGAGCGCCCCCTTCAAGAAAGCTTACAACTTCACAAAAAATACAAGGATAAGGTCTTTCCAACACCTCTGAACCGACCCTTGCCCACACCCCTTGGCGGCAACCCTTGCCAACAACGAGCGATCCAACACTTCCACACATCTGGAAGAGAGGCACATCCAACGCACCTCAACGCACGGTTTTGCTCGATGTTCCAGAGGCAACATCCGAAGCCCTCCTTCTCGGTGCTCAGATCCAAATCACCCCACCTCACAGACCGGCTCTCTCGAGCCGTGTGAAGGCGTCGCCAGTCTTGATTCCGAAACACTGTCTCGGGTGGCCATTCTTAGCCTAGGAAGTGAAGCCCATTGTTTATGAACCTGCACCATATCACGCTTGCAAGACAAAAACAAAAATCAAGGCACTGGCAGTTCCAACACTTATAGCTTGAATCACTTGAATGTAATGGATCGACAAGTGTATTGCGATACCAAAACTCTGAGCTGGATATCCAAGACGCTTCTCATGCCTTCGAAATGGATCCATGATGCCCCAAATGGCACGGTTCACTAGCGTTCCTACCAATTGAGCACTCAACTAGCTGCAACATCGAAGTCGTTGGAATCAAGAGTCGAGTGCATGCGCGAGACGTGGTTCGCTGTGCGACACGACAAAATCCACCAGAATTGGGGTTCGCGTCACGCCATGAGGGCATAGCCCAAACTCTAAAAGCAAATCATAAAGAGGATTTGAAAGAACCCATAAGATTGCCAAAGGCCCGTTGTGTTCGGCATACCCAAAGCATCAGATTGCAACACTGACGTCTCCATGCCTGGAAGTTATCTGAACCAATCTGAAGCAGCAGCGGAAGCAATGGTTCATGATGGTTCAGGAGGAGGGGGGTTCATTCCCTTGACACTTGATGACGCGATTTACAATAAGTATACAAGTGCACAATACTTTGTAATCTATTCTCAAACCTTGATGCAGCTTGCCCATGTGAGCGTTGAAGAAGTAACCAAATACTTAAAGTATATAAGTAGATAGATAAATAACTCGACATATATAGTTACATATATATATAGTTATATATACATGTATGTGTGTATACTATATATAATAGTTAGTGTCACTGTTAGTGTCCAGTACTTGATGTCTTTCTTGTCAGCAACTGGGCCCTTTCTTTTGAGGGGCCGGATCGTTCGCTGTGGATCGGTCTCTGTCGCACCCGACGGGCCTTCGGTGTGATAGGTTTCTCATCCAGAGGTGTACGAGATCGGCTTCTGGAGCCTGAAAGTGTCCCAAGTTTGGTGATCCTTTTGGCAAGCTGGGAACCAAAATGGAAGGAAGCGTCTGCCATCATCCTTGTCGCAGTAGAAGTGGCATTGAGCAGGAGACTTAGGGAAACAAATACGAAAAAAAAAGGGATAAACGGCTCCACAAGGGCAGGATAGATAAACGATGATAAACGGTTCAACTTCTTCTGATTCACAACTGATTTGCTGGTCTTCCGCTGTCTTCCGGCGCTCGGGAGAGCCTATGCTCCGATCCGACTGGCTCTGTGAACGAGGACTTCTGGAGACGACGGCCTTGCTGAGACGACAGCTTCTATGTCATCCGATGTTCAAAGAAAACGAACAGCAAAGGATGACAAAGCCACCCCCAATCTTTATCAAAGGCTTGCACTAGTTCCTCTCCCTTTGTATTCTTATAGTTAAACTCCAACTGTCCTCCATTACCTTGCCCCTGGGGTCGTGTCTTCTTCGGTGTTGATCTTCCAGAAGGCAAAGCCTCGGTGATGTCGACACTGCCACCCGCTCATGTGGATTGGGAGATGTTTTTGTCAACTTACCCGCTGGACTGCTCGTGATCGCAAGAAAGAAAAGAGACTGATCTCTGTTACGAGTAACAACTGTACCACGATGTACATTCTCCAAAACACAGATCCCAAGAAAGATACTGTAAATAAAGAAAGAGAGAGAGAGAGAGACAGGAAAAAAAGATCGTCTACAGTCTCCACGCGTGCCTTTTTCGGGTCTTCAGTCTCCACGTTGCGAACAGCACTTGGAGTTCGACTGTGATCGACTCTCCCTCTGGATGGGATCTGCCGCTCATGCCCCGTGACCTGACAAGGACCCGTTCACGTCGTGATCGGCTCATTCGGTGGAGGACAAAAACCGTAATTGGTTCGTTGTTCCTTTTCTGGGAATGCAGGTGTTGTCCTATTCGTGGATTCTATCTATAGTAGAGGTCTTTGGGCTCTAAACGATGTTTTTGATTGCTTTTGGATTTCTGATCTGAGCCTTCCGGAATATACTGGGAGTCTGCAAGTACCTCATCTTGTATGAACAGAATGATGTTGGATCCACAGATTTGTCAAACAGTATAGGGTAGAAAAGGTCTCGCAGAGTTATCTCAGACCCTAGTGACCTAGTGACCCTGTTTGGGGGGGTTGGAACTAGAGAAAGTTGTTTCTTCCAAATGTGATTTTCTTTCTTACCTGTCTTGGAATTTGTTCCTTTCTTACTTCCTGTTCTTTCCCAGCTACAGTCCGCCTGTCGTTCTGGGACTCTGAGCTGATCCCCATCAAACTTCCTTATTACTAAACCATTGCAAAAGTTGCAAAAACACTCATGTTTAAGACGGTAGTCTACGGCTGACCCCTGGAATTGATTTATGTTGTAAATTGTCTGGGTGTTCGTAATAGTAGAAGAGGTGTTCCCTTTCGATTATCACTTCAACAATTGTTGTCCTTTGCAACATCAATTCAACCAAAAGGATTTCCTGTGCATTTCCTTGTGTCCTTCACAGTAAATTCAATAAAAGAACCTCCCTGTTGTTGTTCTTTTCTTCAACATCAATTCAACAAAAGAATTCCTTCTCACACCCACATCAGTCACTAAGAATCCGTTGGGAGATGGTCAGGGCAGTTGATGTTCTTCGGCTCTACTTCGGGCAACAGGGATTTTAGACCTAGTCCATTTGAGTGCGGATTGTAACAGGAAGGGGGCCGAAGTGGGAGGTCTATTTTAATACACACCCATGTTCTGTCCATTCTCCCAGCCAGCTTAGTCTGATTCACAATCATTCGGATGAGACGTGGGTAGCCCGTGGACTGGCCCGTGGGTAGCCACCAGACCTTGGCCTCGTTCCGAACGGTCCGTCTGGACCCGCCCCACGCCCCACGCGCACCTTGTGTGCCCCCTCTTCTCTGGAGGTGCTGCGAGTGGAGATGGCCTCGGGCTTTGAAAAGGGGCAGATCTGGAAAATGCATGGAATAGAAGTTGAATGAGCGTACTTGTCACATGTTGTTTTCATTAGCTTCCTTGATGAATGCCCTTTGCATAGAGAGTCATATCAGAGTAAAAGTTCTAAGCACCTGGCAGACCCACTGCGGTGTGGCTTTTCAGCAACGTCGGAGTGCACATGCCTGCCATAGAGATAGAGATGCAAGCCACTTGAAGGGGCCACCGAGTGTTCTCAACATCCTTGCCTGACTCCCGGTTGGTGCGAGTGAGGAAGGAACTTGCCTTGCTTCCTTGGTGGATCCAGTCTGCATGGCCCAAAAACAAACATCCGAAAACCTTGCTTGAAGGGCTCTTAGCCAGCCAATTAACATCAGCATCGTTCAGCATCTTTGGGGTAATGCGACAATCAATGGAAAACAACACAAACAAAAGAGAAACACCTACTATATTACTATATTGATATAATATATCCTGGAGAAGACCTACTCTACCCACGTTCGGTTCCATGTCCTTTGTCAATCATTCCATCCACTCCAACACGCCCCATGACCGACGACCGCCCAGTCTCCCATGAAGCAGCTCGAGGACTTCCGGCGCCGCCTGGCAGGGGTGATTCTTTTCGAAAGAAGCCTCAATCTGCACACCAAACATGGATTAGGGTCCACTGAAAAACACAACTAAACACACACACACACATAAAAAAAATCATCATCTCACACCCCACCACCCCAAAGAAATGGAACAAGGATGAGAAAGGATGAGAATGGTGCCCACACTCTGGTCCAAGAGACCACACTTTTAGGGAATATGATCGAAACACCGACCCTGAGACAGATCTTCCGGAGGGTTTTGGAGGTAGGTTCCTGGCACAAAGGTAGGGAGCCACCTGAAAGGTTCTGCTTCTAGAGCTTTTGGGTCGCATGTTCTACTTCCAATGGAAAGCCGTGGAAATGCCATCATCGATTCCAAGCCAAAACAATCAACAGTAACACTGTGGATCGCTAGGAGGCTGCATCTCCTGACTCATTCTCTCGAAAACCTCGTGGTTGACTGCCAAACTCAGAGACAGGCTGTGCTGATGAAAAGCACACGCTCGAGTTTCAAAGAAAACAAGGAAGTACTCGCAAACTTTGCTGTCCATGAGGAATGAAAGCCAGCAGTTGACAACTCCTTCAGCTGCAGCTTGTGAACATCTGTGTCAGTTTCTTGTACTCCCGCCTTATGTGTGTTGATGGCGAAGCGTTTTAAATCTTGCTCCTGGCCCACAACATCCACTCAAGTTCATTGTTTGGGAGAAGGACACTTTGATGATCATTTGATCATCAAGAACAAATCTTCCAAAGGCTCGGTTGATACCTCCAGCACAAACAACCGTAAACAACCCATTTCTCCGACCTGTCTCGCCCGTTTCGCCCGTTTCGCCCTCCCGGTCCCCGAGGGTCGGTCCTTCTGGAGGGTCATGGCCAAGCTAACTCCACGGTGCACCACCGACACGTGTCTCTGGGCTCCGCCTCGACCGCCACTGACTCGAATGATTCACTCGACGCGTTGGCGGAGTGGGGGGTTTGAGGCGGGTTTAAGGGGAGAAGAGGTGAAATGAAACGAAACAAACAAACAAACGATCAATGGCGTCCCATGTCCAGTTCTCTCATCTAAGACTCTGAATTGGTATCAGACCTCAATGAGTGCACAGTGTCTAGTGTTTTCTCCTTGAACGCGATGGACTTTGAAAGGATTCTTCCTCGCACCCTTGCTCGCTCTGGCTCGCTCTTGGCTCTGCATTGAGGTGTGATTCAGGATGATCAAATGGGCTTTAATTGGTTGAGCTGCGTGTTGCGAATTGGAAAGGTACATGAGGATTAGGTGGGGTGAGTTGCGTTGTAGAAATGCAAATGATGCGACGCATTGTTTCAGGAGACAAGGGCATTGCGCGCATCGTGTTGCGCGCATATCAAATAATATATCGTTTGCTTTTGCTGTGCGAATTTCGTCTAACCGGCAAACAATAAACCTTGGGCGAGATCCACTGCGTCATTTGTTGCAGGAATGCACTTGGGCAATGGCAATTTGTTGCACAGGAATGCAAAGCTAGTTAAGGGCATGAACAGTATACAATGAATGAAACTTGCGTTCCACTTGGACTCTCCGGTGTGGTCGGCTTCTTCCTCAAAATATGAAATACTCTTGATTCGTTCAGCGCAATCTGAGGGCACCACGAGCGCCTGATCCATGTTGCAAGGATTGTGTGGACTTCCTGGCCACCTGACGGCACCGGGTTGCACATCACGACGTCGCTGCGTGCCTGCAACTTTTCAAAAACTAGTAACAATACACTACCAAGTTGAATTCCATTGCTAGTAGGTTGGAGGCCATCTCTAGTAACAAGAGGCTACGAACGTAGCTCGGAGATTGTCCCTAGATGTCCCTAGTGGAAGTTGGGATCACACATCATCACATACTAAATGCTCCCTAGGATCTCATGGACCCCAGCGCAACGACGAACTGGGTGGATCTCAGTTTGGCTGGCGGTCATGTTGGTCAACCGAATTTCATCTTTTCTGAATGGCAAAATTGGGCATTCGTCCTAGCATGTCATGTCGGAACAATTGAGATGAATTGAAACAAAACATTTTGCCAAGTGCTCTGGCAATTGGGATGATGCCAGGTCTTGGCCTCCTACCTTTCGCACAAGGAAGCTACGTGGCATCTCCAAAAAACTTACAGACCCGCAAAATAGGCTCACAACATTTCACAAATAAGAAAGAATGTTTGCTCATGATTGCTCCTTCATCTCACACTCCTGGAGTTCTTTCTGGCCCAAACAATCACCACACCGCGAAAACGGACGGCCTCGGGAATCCAATCGCGGCCCTTCCGCGGCGTGGCGCGCGGCGTTTCCGACCTGCAGACCACGGAAGATGAAGGGAGCAGGAACCGAGGAACCGACTGAGGGAGAAGCAACACATGGATCTCATTCAGTTCTTTTGAAACAAAGGCACCCCGTTGTCCGGCATAATTCGATGTAGATAGTCTACAATTGGTTCAGTTCTCTTTCGTTGTTTCCAATATTGCTCTTTGGCATGCAATATACTTTGTGAAACATAAATATACATATGTACAACATAAATCTAAATTGTAAAGGTAAATAAAATTCGATATGTATATAACTCTAAAAATTCAATTTCATAGCAACCACATCTGTTGTAAACATTTTTATAATGCTCAGTTTTTGCGGGAGTGTCTCTGGTCATCGCATTATATAAGTCTTCTTGTCCGATGACAGTAATGGCAACGTGGCTTACAGGCGAGATAATGCTCGGCACGGGCCAATGTCAAGTGTCACTACCTCCAAAGGTTCGGTTGGGCTTTTAGAGTGGCTTTCCATCGTCCACTGACTAGCCTTCCAAGCTGACGGGAAGATGCACACGCTCTATCAATACAACAACCCAAAGATAGACGAGCGCATCTCCCTTCCCAACTTCGAAGGCGATGGCTTTATAGTGGTTATCCACTCCACCACTGTTACTTAAACCGAGTTGGTCGATGTACATGGTCCGTCAACCCAAGTCCCCACAGGATGACGACCACATCTTCCTTCCCAATTTCAAGAGACCTCCTGTTCGATGTGTTTTTTTTTCAGCAGTGTTCCAACGTCCACCTTGTTGTAGATTGTTTTTATAGTGGCGTTCCATCGTCCACTGTTCATTGAAACCGAGGGGTCAACCCAAGTCCCCAAGAACCTTCAGCCAAAACACGGCATGCACTTTATGACTGTATCACTTCCGTGGTCGTTCCTGTGCATCACCCCAAAAACTCCTCACGCCCTCCACAGTCAATCACTTCCGTCACGGATCCTCAGACTGGGCCTCTTCTCGTAATGTCATGTAATGTCTGTCTTGTCAAATATGGGCCACTTCACCGCACCCAGGACTTTCCAACTGATCTTCGATCACCCAGACTCCGACCGGACTCCTTCGACGCTTGGCCGAAGCACCGGCCTTGCTCTCTGCTCCTGTGGGCTGGGCATCTCACGCGAGAGATTGTGATCCACCTGGAAGATGAACGGAACGACCACGACTGGATGGACAACCCGGTCCAAGGCTTGAATTGAACATGCTAGGCGGTTGACATCTCCAAAAACGCCAAGATCTGAACCCGGGAGCAAGGATGCTACCAGGGACTCCTGGCCTTACTACTAGGAGCAAGGACGCTACTAGGGGCTCCTGGCATCGCTACTAGGAGCAAGGACGCTACTAGGGGCAACCCCTTCGCCAAGAGGATCTGAAATCCCCCCTTCCCATCCATTCCCCACGCGGGCCGGATGATCTGACCATCCCTGCCCAACGTGTGCGCCTTGTTGGGAACCAGAACGCTCAAAAGCGCTCGGGACCTGAAGCCAAGCGTCTGAATGGAGCACAACAGGTGGAAGTGCCAAAGAAAAAAGGAACCAAATGTATCAAGGAGTCTAAGGAGTCTAAGCAAGTCATATAACTACAGTCTATAACTGCAGTCTCAGGAGACATAAATGCCGTCGATGTAGCGTCATCTTTACTGTTTGGACCATGGAATTGCGTACAACTTTCCACTGGAATTGCAAGTTGTCATCCGTTTCTTTCACACCATCCGAATCGAGCCAGTCGAATTGTCACTTCTCAAGAGAGTCATCTGCGCCTTTGAATCGATCCATGCACGACACCTGCGTCTCATCTTTCCAGTATTAGAAGTAGGGAGACCTCCCCGTTAGACCCCTACCAGAAGAAGAAGGGAAACAAACCAAAACCCATTGTTTGAGGGTCTCCCCATTCTCAATACACACCCGTGTCCTCCCATATCCAAGCTCTCTCAAGCTCTAGGGCTGCAACCACTGGTGCAGGCTTTCGTTCCCTCCGACATGAATGCCAATCTTCTTGCCCTCAGCCCATGTCGACTCCGACGCTCAAGTTCAGCCGCTCTCGGCGCTGAGCCCTGTGGAATCAGCTCGGTCACCGTCCCTTCAGGTCGACAGCGACATCGATGCGGTCGACCGACCCTGGGGTTCTGACTCCGAGATTCAGAATCAAGCCTGGCATGCTGCTGATTCGGCAATCAAGCTGTTCATGCTTGGAGATGTTGGTTTTCACGAGAAGCAGCGTGAAGAGCAAAAGCTGCCGACCTCCACTGACTGTTTCCACGCCACGAATGCTTGACATCAAAATCCTGCTGTCCTCGCAAGAGATGGTGCTATGATGTGCTACAGTATAGAAGATGGCATTGCAGTGTTGCTGGATCAATTCCTAGCAGCACACAGTCCTCCTTGAAGCCCAAGCTGGCCTGTAGAGCAAAGAGCATATTCTGTGGATGTCTGTAGAGCATATGACTAACGTATTGCGTGTCTGCTGCGCACAAATTTGCAAGCACTCACTTTCCCTCTTTCAAAATGGAGCCTTAGTAGCGCTGCCCCAGCTGTCAAGACGGTCCTTCGCTGAAGCGCAAAGTCTGGCCACGGGTATTTACTATGTTTCCTCCAAACAAGCGCCACCAAGCTAACAGAACCAGCTTCAGGGCCCAGTTCGGTCAGTCGCCTGCTCGTCTGTCCTTGAAGAGAATGGTCAAACGCACCACCAATCTTTGCTGATGCTGAAAGCCCAGCAAGCCCCAATGCACCACCTTCTCCTGGCGAAAACAAAACAAGCAAATCGGTACGAGATGGTACGAGTACCCCCTGAGTCGTCCGCTGGCAAGGTCTGCACCCAGTGCTGGAATTGCTCATCGTTGACCTTGACAAAGATGCCAAAGAGGTCTCTTCTAGCAGCCTATAGCTTTTAATAGAACGTGTGTCTGGAAATACAGCACGCATATCCCAACTCCGTTGCGTCAGTTCCATCATTGGGAGACGAACCCATTGTCTTCACTTCACCCGCCTCTGAAGCAACCTGAGAGTGGTCGAACTTGCCCCTCTCAACAGCATGGCTCCCGTCCTCCACAACGGAAAGTGGCAGCAAGCTTACAGCAATTTACTTAGCTGCAACGTCACTGGGCTGAACGTCAAATCCATCAAGCTTTCCACTGTTCAACACCCGATTTGCAATAGGTTTGCTCTCCTTCAAGAAGGGGCTGCGTCTGTTAATGAACTGTCGTGCGTCACCATCAACGTTGCTTGGTGTCTCGGCAGAGCCATGTGATGGGGGCAGGAAGAAGCATTTGAGCGAAAGAGTCCAACACCAACGCGACATTGCAAGGATCCTCAAAAAGATGATGCAAACGTTTTGCAAGAAGACAGTGGCCCAATGGTGGATCTGCTGATCTGCTGGCTACTTACACCGCACAAATTCCTTATGCAACGCCACTGGTTGAATGGAGCAGGAGTCTGTACAGTACAACCCTTGCTGCAGTGACAGCTGTGTGAATCTGAGCTGTCTGAGTTGCTGCTGAGCTCACGACTTGGCTAGCTTCATTCCTGGATGCTTGAGGGTCCGGTGAAAGGACAGCAGGGATTCCAAACAAATGGGTCCGAGGTGGTGATTTTTCATACGTACATGATAAGTCCGGTTTCTTTAGTCTTGACCCATCGTTACACCATACTTCATGTGTGATCATTCTGCCAACCAATGGCCGTTGGCCGCCCTCTTGTCTTGGCGAGAGGGGGGGATGTCCGGTCTATATAAGTTCTTGCTAAGCTACGGCTAAGCCTATCGTCGACATGAGTGGGTGAAATGTCCCGTGTAGCCGCGAAGAAGAGCGCTTCATCCAGTTGAACTCTCGAAGATGAACATGAATCGAATCATGAATCACATATCTTTCACAAGCAGCTGCGCTTCTATATACACAGAGTACCAGTGCGCACCCAGGATGGAAGAGCAGCTGGAAGGTGGCCACCCAAATCTCCATATCCTGCAAGTCGCTTGAGAAAGTGAGAAAAACAAAGTCTGTGCTGTTGCATCACCATCTGTGCTTTTGCCACGTCGCTTTCCAAAGCTGCTGAGTTTGGATGTGTTTCATGTCGCCCGTGCGGCGGCCCTCCACGTCGTTCACTGGGAGTCGTCCGACCGTCTCGTCCCACCGGTGTCGTCACGGAGCTTCGCTCCGTGCCGACCCCGTTCGCTCCGCTCGCTCCGCTCGCTCCGCTCGCTCCGCTCCTCGCCCTCTGGAACTCGAAGCTCCAAGTCTGGGAGCCGGAGCGGGAGCGATGCGCGCAGCTCGCGATGCGACGGCGCGGAGCTTCAAGGGACGAGTGCCCATGCCACGTGCCCCAAACAGCATGAAAACAACCAAAAACAGCATGACATGCTGTCCCCTCAAAGGTAAAAGGTGAAACATGTAGGCGGGCTTAAACATCTTAAAAAGGAACCACCTTGTTCAACAGGCGAGGAAGGCGGATCGAGAAGTGGATAGTGACTTCTTATGAGCTGTTGACCTGTGATTGGTGGCCGCAGCAGTCACAATCAAGTCTCACAGCCTGACCATACTGAGTCTCATGCTGCCACTGCGAAGCTCAAAGATGAAAGCTTTGTCCACGACCTGTATTCTAGGCGACAATTGTGCTGCTCTTGAAAAGTGTTTCACGCTGACAACAAACCATGCATGGGCTAAATTGCAGTTCTAGTATGTTTGAAGAAGATTGGATTGGACTTAGAAAGGAGGATTGTATTTGGATACAGTTTATGAATTTATACACAGTTCACCCCGAGCTTGGCTCGCGCACCCGAACGGCTTTTACGTCCATGGCCATCACAACAACACCTGCCAACTCAAAGTGCAAATGGACCAAGCAGGTAAGCATTTACATTGCACAGGCAAACAGTCAGGACCGTTTGCGTGCACACACGCTAACTTGAAGGGGAGGGAACCCAGAAAAACTCCAGAATCACTGCCGCGGCAAGATCAATGAATGGTCTTCAGTTTTTGAGTGAGCACACTGAGCACACCACAAGTCTTCAACGTCCACCCCTCGTGTAATGACATAGAGCAAATATATGACATGAGCAAATACGGGTCTCAAAGAACTCAGTTCGCTTGTCAGTTCGCACCTCCTTCTTCCTCTCGAAATGCACTTGCAGCATCAGGGAAGCGCTCAAAGCGATCGACGTAGACCAGAAAGTACCGAGTCTGGCGGTTTTGCTGTTCGAAACATTCGAGTTCGGCCCTTTATCTCTTTCGCCATCCGTCCCGTCGTCCCAAATAAAGAACGGCGAGACGATAAAGATGATAAAGCAAAGCATGCAGAAGAAAACATTAATGCGGGGACAACGGTATTGGGAGGACGTGTTTCATGGGAATCAGATGCTGAAAGACACAAAAACAAAGGATCGTTCGCTCCCGCCACCGAGACGGCTTTCGAGGCCTCTTCCGAGCCATCTGCGGTGACCTAGGTGTGTCGGTGACCACCGTTTAACCGTTCAGAACGAACGAACGTCCTCTGAACCGCGGTCTCAATCACACGACCACGCCGAAGGGCATCGGTGGCTCAAAGGCTTGAGTTCCAAATCGGTGTTTTTTGAGGTGGCCAAATTGCTAGCATGACTTCTGCGCTGTCTTCCTCAGGAAATCTAATGAACTCATTCATGTTGCAAAATAGTCATGATTATTCCATGGTTATTCCATGCTTCCATTCTTTGAGGTTTGCCCCACCATTTGGTTCGATTAACAAAGCTGGCTGGAAACGAACAGAATCTGTTTAACGCCGCAGCTGCACACGGTCTCTGAGACAGGTACAACTTTGAGAGGTCCATGATGCATGGGCTTGTCGATGCCTTTCAGGACGGCAATTCCGATGTCCCGCGGACCGTTACTGTCCCGTCTGCGGCTGCCGCAGAAGGGCTTCCAACAGAACTGGAATCAACCCCTTTGACCAGAGACCGGTCTCTTTGACCATCTGCGGTTTCAGAGATCTGGTCGAGAGAACTCCTGGCTTCGACGAAACCGACCGAAAGCGACCAGGCCTCTCTTGGGCAACCGCACCGGCGTATCTGGGCCGCACACGGATGGGAGCCCACAGTGAGAAACCGGTGTCCGCCGGTGTCGAAACAAGCTTGTGGTCCAAACAACGGCACGGTGTTTTTAGTGCAAAAGGTGCAGTGCAGTGAGGTTTCTTCTACCCCCGAGTAAGTCGGGTGAAAGTGGTTCATCTACCTGATCCGAGTTCGACCTGATCCAGTTCAACCATAAAAACGGGTGTTGCTTCCCAGGAGCGGTTCGTTGTCTCTCAAAAAAACTTCATGAAATGCCCAATGTGGGCACCTGTTGGAGATCGCATGTTTTTCCAAAGGACCTCAGCAAGACAATGCCAGAACCACGAGGGCTTCGTTGTGATTCACAATAATGTAGACTCTCGATTCTCGATTCATAACCCAAGTTGAATTGGAAATCCTGCTCTAGACCGTCTACTCTTTTGTTAAATGGCTGTGGCAGGATGAAGACCCCCGCCCTGGGGCCAGCGCCGTCTTGCCCCTTCCTTCCTTTGAAAAGGTGGGAGCCAAGACCTTGGTTCCGTACGCACCAGGCGAGAGGCACAGAACCGAGAGCTGGGCAGCGAGTCGAGAGCTGCTCACTGCTCATCTTCAATCCGTTCACTAAGGAGGTCTTCACTGCTCAACTCCAAGGAAGACAACTCTGAAGGGAGCTACAGAGGCACAGACCTCTGCCAAGCAGGACCTCGGCTGCGTAGGTCAGCTCCACAGGCAGGTTTCGGTCCCGGTGTTATCATGTCGTGTTGTGTTAGGCTCACCTAAGCACGAAGGTGGATACCAAGCTGGATATGAGAATCAAGAACGATCTGTGCTATTTGTCCTGCCTATTGGAAAGCTGATGAAAACTTGCACAAATGCAACAGAGCTCACTTTCTCGACATAGCAGTGCCTCTGGTACATCTGTGCAGTACACAGGCTGGCGGGATGCAGCTGCGATGCTTCTTGTTTACAACAAAAGATCTGCTTCCATTGTCAAGAATGGAAGAACCACAGCCAAATATGCCATCAGGTGTTCTACAATCTCTAATGAATATGGTTAGATCATGGTAAACCAATAGAAGGAAGCCATTAATTTACGACGATGAAACATGGTAAAACTCGCCACCCACCAAGAAAGCAATGTGCCATTCCTTGATCTACCGATGCTTCTCTGTACATTCGCATCATGCTTCGCTGAATGATTTGCATCATTCCATCGAGTCCAAGCCTTTCAGGGTTGAACTGGCTTCTACATGGTGTGCCAGGAGTCCAGCCAAGCAAATGATGTAACAGGTAACACGATAATGCTTGCGCAGTATGGGGCAACAAATGGCAACCAATTTGCGCAATGTGTGGCAGTCTTCCAAACAATGATAGCTGCATAGCTCTCCCAACAGATTCTTGTTACAAGGACAGTCAGCTACAGACTCCTGTCGCCGGAGGTGAAACACTTCCCTCTCTGGACGGCCGCCCAGCGCGGCCGGCCGTCAGGCGGCCTTACCCCACATGACGTTGTGCACAAAAAAATGCGTAGACTGAACATTGTGTAGACTGATCCGTTCTTTTCGCTATTAAAATCTATGTTTCGTTATTAAAATCTGTGTTTCCTTATTAAAGAGTACCCTGGTCACAAATGGATGCTACACATCAAAGTTAGGTCGCTAAGCTGCAACATTTGCCGCTAGAATGCGCTAGAGTTTTTGTTGAGTCCAACCCAAGCTCCTGACTAGTCAAAGATCTCACCCAACCTCAATTCAGTCAGAAGTGTCAATCCAAATTAAATGACCGACAAATATAGAATGTACTGTATACAATGCTTTGGCAAGACTTCAGACAAGTGGCACCAGTCCACCCAACAAACCAGCTCCTCCTGCTGCAAGCATTGCTCCAGTGCCGCCTCCCATGCCGCCCATGCCACCACCAGTGCACCCGCTGGGCCCTGGGCCGTAGGCCGGGCCAGGGCCGTAGGCCGGGCCTGGACCATAGGCCGGGCCTGGACCATAGGCCGGGCCAGGGCCGTAGGCCGGGCCTGGCCCATAGGCGGGACCAGGAGGAGGACCATGAATATGAGAGCCAGGACCATAAAGAGGAGCAGCACCTGACAGGCGATGCGGAGATTGGAATTGGCATGGGTCTTAAGATCTGAAAGTGTTGCCGGAAGACCTCGAGCAGTTCTCTTGGTTGGGAAGTCCAACTTTGGTAAAAGGTTGAGTGAAGTTGTTTAAATAAAAAACATAATAGAAATGTTCACTTAGTCTATCTATGTTGATTCATCTATATTCCGCTTGTTTTTGTTTGCCAGTTGGTGGGGCAGTTGGTTTTGACCCACAGACACTCATGCCATCCGTTTTTAGTCTCCACCGAGCAACCTGGGCCGTCATGATATGCCATAGGAGCTGCGGCTGGAGCATGATAATGGCAACCAGGAGCTGGGCCTCCAGAGTGAAAGGCTGTTGGTTCGGGCTTCTGGTATCGTTCGATTGAATGAAGTTGGATCATGTCAAACATGTGCATTGGTCGATGTTTTTGTGGATACGACATGATACGATCAGGTGACCAGTGTCTGTACAAAAGACTATCTACTCATATGATTGTATATATGATCTCACCTGACGTGTTCACAGAAACCGCACGTTGTTAGAGGGTGATTTGGATGTATTCTGCATGTGTGTTTCCACCAGCTCTAACAACTCGATGCTGTTATTCTGAGTGAGATGCCAACCCTCTTCATCCAATCACTGGCCACTATCAAGCCAAGCAGCCAGGCCCAGACACCTGAGCTGAGCTGAGACATAACATGACATAACTAGTCTTCCCCCTGACGCAGCCTTTAACCTGAAAAAACACCTGGTCATACCTAGTCTTCAAGCTTCTCACGTGCAGCATAACCATCACCCAAAGCATCCCATCCCACATACACTATCACTATATATACAAGGGACAGGTTGTAAATCTCACTTGCGTTGCTCAAAACCTATCGAGAATTTGTTCAATGGGCTCTTCATTCACAAGTTCCTTTCCCAGCACTTTCGTGGCTTGTGGTTGGGCTTCAACGCTGCATTCTGTGCAATTACACTTTCGCAAGCTTTCGAGGACGGAACTGATTTCACAAGTGTTTGCAAGCTTTCCCGAGCTTTCGCAATCTTTCGCGCATGAAGAGTTCGCGCACTCTTTTGCGGATCTTTCGTCACTGCATGTTTAGTTTGCGCGAAGGCATAATACATCACGATACATTAACCTCTCTTCAAATTGTTACTTGGGAAGTCTTGACCGCTGCTCACTTAGCCCCGTTTCCTCCATGATGGTGTTTCCGCTTTTTTTTGTAAGCAACAGTCCACATCAGACTCCGGACGCGCGGAATGCAGACTCTTCTGGATCGTTCACCAAATTCACTGGGTGTCCAACAGGTGCTGTTGGTTTCATGCCCGGAGTGAAGCCCACCACGGCGCCTTCCACCACAGGAGGCCTGAGGGTTTACAAGGGGCATTCCTGTTGCTTAACTCACCAGTGGGCTCCGACAGAGAATATTGGGATGAACACTTCCTGAGAATGTAGAACCAATTATTATATACTTTATAATATATATTATATATACTAGTTTATTCTATACTGATACTGATTCTTTTGCCACAACTTGGGTTTCAAGAGAAGGTGGACGCATCTTTGTGGCTGGTGTGACCGTGCTGGCCTGGCGCCGCCAATCCCATGCAGCGCTTGATCAGCCGAGGGCTTGGGATAGTCAGCCTTCGGTGGCTTCGGCTTGCCTTGGAAGACGAATTTCTGGCGGACACAAAGACCACTGGGGATGACGCACCGGCCTTTATTCGAAGTTTTGGGATTGTTGCCAGTTGTTTTAAATGGTTGCAAGATGTACAAGTGAAGTGAATGAACTGGAAACCGTCATCTTTCCTCCTCTTTCCTCACCTAGGCCACCATCTTGCAACTGCGGAGCTGTCTTCATCTCTCACAATTCGGATTGGCCGCTCTTTACCTCCCAAGGTCCCAACAAAAACACGTCCGACATGCATGCTGCATAACACAAAGCTGATGCTGAAGGGAGACGGTGAACAAAGCAACACCTTTCTGGCTGTAGACTGTTCCTTTGAAGTCCGGTTTTGAAGGGTTCTGTTCATGAAACTCGGGCAAACTTATACCAGGCCAGGCCTGACTCTCTTCATGTGTCGTGTTTTTTCTTCATTCCTGCCTGTCTTGATATTCCTTTGAACCATCCGCTCAAAGTCCACAAAGTAGTCCTTCAGTCAAGGCAGTGTCAAGGCAGGAGGCCTGGAGGCCTCACTGTTGTTCCAAGCGGACCATGTGAGAAGTCCCTTTTGCTTTGTTCAAATTGACCGCGACGTCAGAATATCTGGTGCTTCGGGTGATTTTCTCATCAAATCCATGGACCACCAACATGTGAGGTCGTGCACAGAAGGGGAAGAGCACCACAAGGCGGTTTTTCTTTCTGGACATGCTCACCCGAACACACATCGCTGACCGCGCTGACCGCCCCCCTCCGCGTCCCTTCGCTTTCGCCGTTTCGTGGTTTTGGCCTGTTTCGACGTCCGTCGGCACGCGTCACGACGGTCGGAGTGGTCGCACCTGCCCTCGCGACCGGAACTCGGCGCTCTTTTTGTCGCTCATGAAGGCCTCGATGAGTCGGAGATGGAATCGCGAGCCCTGACTGAGTCGAGGTCCATAGCTTGCCCGCATGACCATAGCTTGGCCACTATAGCTTGGCCTTTCGTGACTCATCGCGGAAGATTTGAGAGATTCAGAGTGCAAGTTCAAAGAGGTCAATGTCAAGTCCCTAAGAAATCGAGTCGGGCAGAGAATTCTACATTACATGGCAGTGATTGCCATGTTTAGTGGCCATTTATAGCCTTTAGCGTGTTCCACTTTAAAAACCATCCAACAAAAAACCAATAGCCTACCTTGATGTGAATCAAGCCAATCTCACCATGGCCTGATCTTATTTGATCAAGCTTGGATGGTTTTTCCTTTGAACAAAAACGGCACCTGTGCACCTGTACCCGCTGCCCATCCTCTCCTCGCAGCTGCCCATCCAGTCGTTTCGATGTGATCTGCATCGCGCCTTGAGTAGGATCTCATCTTCCCCTCAGTTCTGCGAGAGGCAAACCGAGCGCAAACCGAGCTGACGTCCAACGTCCACACAGGGACCGGTCCAACAAAAACAGGTGCCGGCGGTGCCCGGTGCCACGAGTGTGGGGAACCGGGGGTCCCATGGGGTCCCTGGTTTCTGGGTCACTCAGAGTGAATTCTTGGAATGACGAGAGCACCTCTGCCTCGACTCTGTCGCTTTATGTAACTGCCTGGACACGCTAAGTGAGCGATCGATCGAGCTGAAGAGCTGAGTACTGAACGATCGACAAAGTCTTCCCACTTGTCTCCCAGCTTCAACCTTGAAGAGCTTCGTGCGGAAAAATAAGAGCTTCGTATTTTGACACCCAGTTCGACATCATCAGCTAAAGATAGCGGAAGGGACGGTTATAGAATGTTATAGATGATGAATGATGAAGGAAGCATAGGAACTCATGTCATGAGTGCATCGAGACGAACCAGTAAATGACATGTAATTACAGATAATTGCAGTGTCACTCAGCTCATCACTGAGCTCATCACTGAAACTTGGGCATGGTCACCAGTGGCTGAGGCAACACTTCTGGTCACCGATCGGTCAACTCGTCGAGTCGTCTTGAGCCGAAGGAAAGTCATTGATCGTCGGGTGTCACGACGGGTAAGCAGCATGACATTGGTTGTACTCATTGTAATTAATCCCCCACTAAGAATCATCCAGACTGGGGATTTGAGGGGGTCCAAGCTCAGGTGATATCATTTGCTTGTATGATATGATAATATATGATATGTGCTTGACATGTCCTGGCTTGAATGTTCCACATCCAACTACACCGGTGTTGGGCTCCCGATTCGCTGACATGCGTTCGCTTCCAAGGCACTGCCAGGTCTCGAAGGCTTGGACGACTTTGACCTTCAAAGGGCCTGAACTGTTGGCATCCTGGGCGCACGAAAGGAAAGCTCGCCCGAACGCCGTTCAGCGTTCCAGCGAACTCTTCGCACGAACGGCGCGTATGCGAGCGTTCTTCTCTTCAGCGATGGATGTTGTTCGTCTCAAAAGGGAAATGTGGGCGTTGGTGCTTTTTTGTGTTTGGGGAGTGTGGAGTTTCGGTAGAACCTGGAGCAAATGGATGGGACGAAACCAAAAAGAAGCAAAAGATTCGAGATCAAAGAAAACGGCCCCGTGAGCGTTGTAGTAGCACCATCTGCTAGTGAGAGTTTGAAAAAACGACACAAACTCGCCTGGATTTCGAAGGTGCTGTTCGTGCTTGTCACCTGGACATCTATCAAATTCATTCAAATTCCAGGTCCTCAATCCACAACCCTTCAACATGGCATGATCCGCAAATACCAAACATTACAAATGTCTTCAGCATCAATTTGATTGTTGACACCTTCAGTTGCCTTCAGTCCTTGTAAACCATCCATACATTGGAACCTTTCCTATAATGTCGCTCCGTTGCTCCAGAACGCTGCTCAGACATCGGATTCTCCGCCGGCCTTGACCGTCTGCATTTCTCGAACTTGTACGCTCTTCGTGGGATCCTTGGAATGTTCGCAGGATTCCTTGAGCCACCCCATGTTCGCAGACATTCTCTCATGCAGCAGTACTTGGGGGACCAAATGATGGCGTTCTTCGATGTTTGAGTGTGCGCCCCTCCTTCCCAATAGTATCAAAATGTGGGTTTTCCTCCAAATTCGATTACTGCATGTCCCCTGAGTCGAAATTTCTTTCTGCAACACTCGGAGAAAAGCTTGGGCCCTGGCAGCGTATACAATGTCCTGAAACGGCCATGGCTCAGTCACTGGGGTCTCTTCAGTCTTGAGAAGTTGATTGGACTTCTCTAAGTTGGTGGGTAAAGAAGACCTGTTCGCATCCGTTTCGCAGTTGATCGCCATTTTGATTCGCCGATTTTTCATCGGCCAATTTTGCAAAGCCAAATCCTAACGAGTCGAAACAACACCTGAGGAGTCGATATGTACCACTCAAAACCATCTGCATGACATGTGTGCAGTTATGCTGATGCTTTTATGAAGATTCATCAGGATGAAGCAAAGCTGCAGGGCATGTTTGATGATTATCATTATTACTATTATTATGATTATTATGATGATTATGATGATGATGAGTCATAATTTTGGGGATCTCACAAACCGCAACCTCAGGGTTTCTGGGTCCATGGAGTTGCGGGTGCTTCCTTTGTTGTGGCGGCCTCGGGGTTTTCGAAGAACGCCAGCCGGTCTGGGTAGAGCACTCCATGCCTGCACAGAAGGTAGTTTCAAGTTTCACCAAAAAAATGGAGTTTCTCAGCATCTTTCAACTTTAGACCCACCCCCAGCCCCAGTGCTTGACTTGCCAACTGAAAGACCAAGTTTCAATTGGCTGTGTATGGCAGCGCCTTGCCTTCGATCTTCAGTCCCGTTCTTGGACGAAGACCCATGACCCGGGACGCGTGACGCGCGTCCAACGTCCCGGCCTTTTCTGACCGTTGACCTCGACCTTGGTTCGAACGACGTGCGAAGCGTTCTGACTGTGGAGACCCGATCTGGCTGAGAAGTGTTTTGCAAAAGGAAGCCTCGAAATCCAAAAAGTGGGTGGGCAAAAGTTGACGTTGACGTGCATCTTATTTTTCCTTCACGACCTTTCAATGGCATGTGGTTGAAAGAGAAAAGAAACAAAACATGTGTCACATCTCTTTCAGCAGTGAAATACTCTACTAAGCCCGGCACTGCACCGGAACAAATCGCTCGATTCCGCGCAGGCCGGCTGGGGGAGCTGGGCTCCAGCAAATCTCCCGGGAGATCGTCCTGGGAGAGGTGGACCATCGAAGAGGTGTCCAACGGGTGTCTGCACTGCTTAGGGATCTCCATGGGATCTCCATATAGGCACCCAGACAGGATGGTCCTGGCACTGGTATATATGTTTGATGTTGTTTTCCTTGCGAGGCCGAAGCCTCCAGAAGATTTGCAACTATTTGCAACCTTTCATCTCCTTCACTCTTCAACTGGCCTCCATTTCTCCCGGTGGCTGGCGAGCAAAGCTGGGTTCCGCCTGGTCCCACACAGCTGTCGAGAGGTCCCAATGGGTTTCTAATCACCGTTGTCGAATGTAAAAGGCAAGTAGAAAACACTCATATCATGCGACTGACTTGATGGAATCGGCAAAATCAATTACTGTGGCCCAAGCCCAAGTTTTATCCCCTGATTTGGAGAGAAGGGGAGAATCCATTTCTTCATGTCACACATCAGGACAGCACTGGGTGAGGCAAAAAACAGGTTGGGTCGACCATATTTAGATGGTATCCATTAAATCCATATATTGTATAGCATTATAAAGCCATCTACTCTCTGAAAGCAATGCATCCAGCCTTTGTCGCCAATTCATTCTGAAACTTCTCGAAGCCTTCGCCGCCTCAAGAAAAGCACTTGCACAGTAGGTCACCCATTTTATTAGGTATTAATTATAGGTATAGGTCATAGGCTCCAACTAGCACTGTGGATATCATTGTATAGTGGTTCACTAGGTTGCATAAAACCAGCTACTAGCTAGCTACTAGTAAGCTAGCAAAGGATATCTCAAATCTCAACATGAGGAAGAGAATTGCTCGAGACCTTTTAGTGAGAGGGATTTTGGGGCCAAGGTTCATCTTTCTCATTCTCAGACCTCACGACCGAAAAAGGACCCCACAAACAGGGACTCTGCTCTGACCGAGCCCACCGTTTCCTGTGGTCGAAAAAATGGTTCCCTAGTGTGAAAAGTTGGCTCCGAAATTCAGAACTGCCCCCCCTTCGGAAGATTGGATACGTAGGAATCCTTTGCGTTTTTCTGACCGGAAAACATCCTCCTCCGTTTGACCAGCTCGGGCGTCTGACCGGCTCGGTTCCCGAAAAAAAAAAGAAACATGGTTCCTCCCAAACAGCGGCGAGGCTCTTCCTCCCAAGCGGCTGATGAAGCCATTACGGTTCACCTCGATCGGCTCGAAGCGCACCGTGGACTTCAGCTCCTGGCCACAGGATTTGGAACACCAATTCCTGGCTGTGGCATGCTGTGGGCCCGACAAACATCCGATCACAGCTGTGGGTTGAGCGACACCATTCGACGAACCCAATGGGAACCCATCATATGGGGACCCCTCCATTCACCATGCACCTTCGGCGCGTGCATCGCACCTTCGGCAAAATTCGACGAATCTACATACAGTGGGGTTCAGAGTAGATGGCACCGACCCCAAGATGTCCTGTCAACAGATGGGGTCCTAAAGAAAAATCCAAAACCTTTGGGATCCCTTGTGCCCATCGTATCAGAGCTCTCTCCAGGTCGCACGCGACCCGACGCACGCGGACTGTGACCGACCTGGAGGGGTCGACGCTTCTCAAGGACTTCCTCTGCCAGTGGCATGAACTCCTCCGACCCGCGCGGTCGAAACGTAAAAAAATAATGAAACGAAGCCATTGAATCGGAAATGAAAGGAACGTCATGAAAGGAACTGCATGTTTTCACTTGAAAAGTCTTCAGTCTAGCCTTTTGGCATTCCTGATTGCGAAACAATCCAAACATGTCACAAAATAATACAAAATATTTATGTGTCAAGTTTATGTGGCCCTGAACAAGCCTTGAGCACATACATCTTATGATGAGTTCTAATTATGTCTAATTGATATGCAATCAAGGCCAAAGTGTTCACTCCGTAGTGAAGGACCCAAACCAGCAACAAGACATTCGAGTTCATTCACCCTGACCTTTTCCTCCAGCTTCAACACCTACAAGGCAGGGCACCATTCGAGCGAACTTCGAACAAAGCACAGAAGCTCTGCATCGACGCTGCGAGCTCTGTGAATTCTCGGATTGAGAGGGGTGCCTTGGGATCCAGGTCGTGCCAGCTGACGTGCCATTCGAACTTCGAGCATCGTGTGCCGCCCCGAAAAAACGAGCCTTCTCAAAGTTCGGCAGAGTAATTCCACCTGAGAAGCCGCCGTAGCCATCCATCGCCAGGGCGAAGTTTTCCTGAGCCAACTCTCAAAGTTGATATGATATTATATAATGTAATCATTCGTGTCAAACTTGAATCGACCGAGACGCATAATAAAACAAGTGGATGATCTGAGCTTGCAGCGATTTGCTCTCGTGTCAAGTTGAGATCAAGCTTCTTAAGCGCCTCAACCTGGAATCCAGCACTCCAACCACAAGTCCGAGTGAGTTTAAAGTATCATCGCTCTAGCATATTCTAACCAATTATTAGTTGCAAATCAAACCTTCGTGGGATTCAATCAATGACGCAGTTCAGCGGGTTTTTCGTACTGCAAACTACTCTATAGTACTCATGTTTCGTGCATCAAGGGCACCAGGGTGGCTGCTCGAAGCTCCTCAGTGCCTTCCTGCCGACGCTTGCGGTGCAGTCCACCCGACAATGCGTTTTCTGGAGAGAGTGATCCGAGTCGAAACCATCTTTGGCTGCGACAAAAGGATGCTTCTTCGCGAGTGGCCGAGTGGCCAATGCAAATACCCCAAGCTCGATTCAATATACATATAGGGATCCTCAAATAGATAGAAACGGTTTGCTTCAACAACGTTGGGAGTCATACCTACCTGACCTACAAGCTTTTTTGAACCAAGTTTGGACTCCTTCAGAAATTTGATGTGGTGCTTGGTGTTCGCCAAGAATTGTGCTAAGCAGACGCTGATACACCCTGATATACACCCTGGTGCTTTTTTCATTCAGGAAGAAGCAGTTCTCTTCAAGGAGCCAAGGCGCCCGCACCCAACAGGTTTGGACCCTTTCCGATTCTCGGTTTGCTGCAACCCTTCCCTTCAACATCCTTCAACTGAAGCGACCCGTCCGGGTTCTCGCTGAAGCCATGTCGACAGGTTGAACATGGTTGAACCACATTTTGACCCACAGCTGTTGTTCAATCATACCCTCTGCTTCAAGACGACCATGCCATATATAATAAACCGATACACTTGTGGATTTGTACTACCTGCTGCAATCGAAGGTGAGCAAGACATTTCGGCAAGTGCCAGGGAACCATGGGCCAACATAGGCCACAAGCACCGCAAATAAAGGAGACAAAGGAACAGAAAGGCAAAGACGCACAAATACAAGCAAAGAAGAATGACTGGACTTTGCAATTCATTGAGGACATAATGTTCCACCAAAAGTCCTGGTCGAGGAATTTCCCTCATATTTGATCACATTACATATATTACATCATATTACCCTCCTGCAAGCCCGTCACTGTCTCATCAAGTCCATCACTGTCTCATCAACTCCACCCAAATCGGATCCAAGTCGGCCTGCTTCAAGGCTTCAAAGAAGTCCTGGGCGCTCTTCACCTCTTGTTGGTTCACTCTTCTGTCGGTCTTCAGCATGGCATTGACCTGAGTCTGAGGGTGAGTAGCTGGGTGACCACGACAACTCACATCCGCACAATATATAGAATCCTGTTTGAACATATTTGTAAAGAGCCGGGTCAATTGTACATCTCTTTCTTTTGCCTCACTCTAGTCCAGGCGTCAAAGCAATGCTCCGACAGGTCTCACTCTCTGTCCTTCCGGACAGCTCAACGGTCCCTACGATTCGGTCAAACGCTCAGAACTTCGCCAAATGCTCGGCAGGTTGACAGGTTGCTTGGTAGGCGACTGGCTAAGCCTGGCTAAGCCAAAGGCGGTCTTGGCGGACTTGAACAAACTCTTAGCGAGTTCAGCCACTTCTGCCTGGCGATTTGGGTCGCTTTGGCAAGCTCCGAGCTGCTCAGCAACATCGCAAAAAATCAGCGACCAACGACAAGACAACTGCTTTAGTCTTGCGGTGTCTTGGAAATAAGTTGCTCTTGAAGTTGCCGAAAAAAACGGGCGCAAAACCGCTCTCCACCCATGACTCACGTGTGAAGCCCGTCAGGCACACGTGATCGCCCACATCCTCCAATGCTGATGTTCAACAGCAGATGAGCTGGTTAATCAGACGCCTCGAACATCTATTGTATATTATGCATATAGTTATTTCACATTATATGTCAAATTAAGTTGACCTGAGGATTGACCTCGAATGCGCATTGATTGCAGGGTGCAACACCTAAACCTTCAGAAATGCTCAATGAGACCACTCATGGAACACAAGAACGGAGGCTCCTTGACAGATCCAGCCACAGATTGATTGGCCTTAGAACATTGCCGCTCGACAACTCACGCTGATGCCCATAGCCGGAGAGTCAGTGTGGAACGGAAACAGCCCCTGGATGTGCTTCAACACAGGGAAGAAAACCGAGAACATCCTCCCAAGTGAAAAAGTTGAAACTCAGAAAATAACCACTACAAACTGCTCCACGTGACACATCTGCATCCGTTTCTTAGCTCAAGTCCGAGTCTGCTTCTTCGAATACAGTCTTCAGCTCGTCGTACCAGTCCTGTCACAATCAGCATGTGACAAAGTGCGATGTGTAGCTGAATGCAAAGACATTCCCACGTGGTCGAAAACAGTTGCAGAAACGAAGGTTCGGAAATTATGTTTCGGAAACCATACATTCTTGGGAAGATATACAAAATTATTCGACAACAAAGGGGTTCTTTGTAAATCATGACATGGAAACTACCAGTACAGTCTTTGTTTGGGAAACTGCAGGTCTATGTTATGTTTTTGAAACTATGCTGTTCTTTGGAGACCATGGTAAGGACACCATGTGGGCAAAACCTAAGTCGCAGAATTGGAATGTTCATTGGCACTGCCACATTGTCTTTCCTGCAATCACAACGTACATCAGCACAGTCCATGCTTGGTAACCAATAAAAAGTTCATTGACGAGCGCACATCGTGTCCGGTATCCATCCGAAACCATTTTTGGTTCACCGTGGGACGCTCGTTTGACGAGAGCGTATAGGACGCAAGCTCCGTAGGACGCATCGGATCTCTTCGTCGTTTCTCCAAAAGCAAGTCAGTGTGGCATCAATGGATCTTCCCTCAGGCGACAAAAGCTCAAATTTCCTGGGCGGACATAAGCTCGCCCCGTCGGAGACACCAACACCGCATTTTGGAGGCCCGTTCCATTGGAGGTTGGAAGACACCAAGATGACAATGGAACGTCACGCCCAAAAACCACACGTAACGCACTCATTTGGACATAAAAGAAACATCATAAGCGGCAAACACCTGGGGTGTGGCGTAGGCCACACTTTCTGACTTTGCCCACCAGTTCGGCACAGTGCCAACCGCCGATCTTAAAAAGTATCTTAATGAGTCTGAAAGGAACAGCACTTTGAACACCTGAAAGGTGATCGAGTGATTGACTGTCCAAACAGGAATGTGTTTCAAGGCAAGAGTCGTGTTATCCGCCAAGCGGACCTTAAATCGATCATCCTCCACCTGGCAAAACAGCAGAATGCGGCACACCATTCCATGGCCTCTGATGCACGTTCATGAGAGGACTCCCGGGGCAATCCCTGTTGCTGACATGGCGCACCGTGCGCCTCCAAATCTTGGATTTCCTCAATCATTATGCGATCTGCGGGAACTCCTTCATTCACCTGGCAAGCAAAAACTGAAAAACCGCCAGAAAGGCCCAGGAAAAAAATATGTATGACATGTTGCAAGGGCATAGCTCCTGGACAGAGTCTCAAGAATTGTTCATACATCTTAGACTAAGACCAATGCAGCTAAACCTGTGCGTGTTGAAGCTGCATGTTGGCGCTTTGTAGGTTTCCAAATGGCCGCGATCAAATGTGTTTGCTTTGGGACATGCCTGGTCACTGGTGAACCTGTCTTGGTCGACCCTCAATAAAGGGGAAAGAATGATGGGGCTAAGCAGGCTTCTCCAAGATGTTGTATGCCTGCAAAATCCTATGGAGTTCGCAAAATGTCTTGATCCATAAGACAAGGAAACGAGTGAGTTGCCCCTTTTTGTCATATCCCCTTGTTGATCCCCGATCAACCCTGCTGAACATCGATGCTTTTGGCCAACACTCTGTCTACATGCATGTATTGCTTGGAACCCTGGGTCTGTGCCATAGAAAAAACTCTCAGTGGTTCTACCAGGGCAAACCTAACTTGATACAGTGTGGTCTTAGTCTGGTCTTTTAGGCTGGACGATATATCACCGGAATGATCCCATGGAAACCGCTGAAAGACATGGAAGTGACATGAATTGTAAATGATCACACAAGCAAGGAATGTCACAACAAATTGGGAAAGTCAAACAGAAGTGGCATAGGGGATTGCCGGGAATGATTCCTTCTATCCTTCAGGAATATATGGTCATACTGAGTCATACTGAGTCATACTGTCATAATTACCCGTGTTTTGGCGCTGTGAACCGATTCTGGGCGCCCAGCGTCTGCTCCTGCGTCCATGAAGATCTCTACGCAGCCCTGGCGGACAGCCAATCGTGCATCCAAGTAGCACATCTCCATATTGCTTGGCCGAAAAGATCAGCTTTGTGTCGACATGAATGGACCCGAACTGCTATGTGGTGATCCTGTCTTGCCCTCACACATGTGCTAGATAGTCACTTTTGAAACTCACAAAGACTGCACATGATTTGGACTCCACGCCTCTCGTAGCGCGAAAACCACGGCTCTCGCCTGCAGAACGTTTCACGTCAGTTTCACTCTTTAGGGGATTCCATTCATTCCCTCTTTCAGGAAAATGGGGAGAAGCATGGGATAGCTTCGACTCATCCAACTCATCCACCTGGGATGAACACATCTTCTTCACTTCCAACTTGGCCCCCTTTTCCGCGCATCCAACCCGTTCCGCCGCGGAACGCCCCGCACCGCCGTCCCGTTCCAGAGACGCCGCCGCCACACCGCCACGCCGCCACAAAGGCCCGCGCCACCGCCCTCGTCCTCGCCTCCGGGTCCTCGCTTTTGCGGAAGTGAAACCTGTGAGATGGATGTCTCAAGCATCACTTGATTGTGCCTCACGTGTGACTGGCTAGATTGTGCCTGTGGCCCAAACTTCGAAACATGCTCTTTTTGGGAATCCGCAAACGCAGCAAGCGCGCTATAGCGCGCCGTCAACAGCGTTGTTGTTACTTTGTGCAAACCATGCAGGCACTCTCAACATCAACCAAATGTTCAGACTTTGCCATGTTGAGTGGAAACCATCTGTTGCCAGTTGTTCACACACAAACCTACAATTTCCGGGACCGAGTAAAACATTCAAGTCAACAAGAACGCTGCAGACCAACTTCGTTGCGGCCAAATCTTCTGTGACCGAGGCCTTCAAGGCGATGCTGTCTCTCTCTCTCTCTCACTGCTCTCATCGGCCGCCATCGACAAAGCTGATTAAAGGAAGCACCTAAAATCGATGAAATGATGAATGAGGATGAATGTGTGATTGAGCCATGAGCCAAGCTCGTGATGGAAGGCGCTTCGAAAACAACCCGCAAAGGCCATGGCGTAAGAACATGTAAGAACTCCAATCTGTGGAAACATCTGTCGATATATCTGGGTGTGTTCAGTGTGCTTCGCACCGACATGGCTGAAGCGATGCAACATTGGACCACATTGGAGAATGAGTCACAAATGTGAGCAAAAATCGACTATTTGAAAGATTTTGAAATGAGCCCTCCTGGAAATCTCGTCTGGGATGCAGCATGCCCTGAAATCAGTCGCTCACGGCGGCTGAGCGTTTCGCTCGCTCAGCCGAATGGATGCATCACAAACGCACAGCTCCTGCATGGAACAATCCACATGACCGTAGCTGCATGTTGTCACTACGCAGGGTTGGAACATTGGGCTGTCCTCGGCAAAGACGCCCCATTGGAGTATTGCTGCAGGTACTGCACACCTCGCGACTTCTCGGGTTTGCTGTTCTTCGCAGTCACTCTACGGGCCAGTCACTCCAAGATTCTGCGGCCCAGTGGCTGTTCGAAAACATCTCCCACAGCGTACTCCTTGTTCCTTGAAGCCCCAAAGAAAGCCGTTGCATTGCTGGCACCTCGGGTATTCAAAAGCTCAGCAAAGCAAAGCTGGCTTCTCCAACAACTCGACTCCTCTGTGGTTATGGAGGTACGAGTACTTCATTTCCCCGTAGCCACTCAACAAAGGCTCAAGAGTCATTTATGGTCAGGGTCTACTTATTAATTGTCATTATGTCTAAATTGATTTATCTTTACCCAAAAAGACATTATGTCCACCATCAAGCTATGGAGAAACGATGAGAAACGGCCAAACGGAAACAGGGCCCGAAGTCGAACGTGATATGACCTGCTGATACCTGCTGCCTGCCTGCAGGATGCGACCCGGAAAAATGAAAAAACAACAGCTCTGACTCTGACTCTTGGCCACTCTGAGGAGAAAACACAAAACAAATCACTTGCTTCCAAGGGACCATGTTGGCTCGTACAACGTCACAGCTGTGAATTGGCACAAAGTCTCCGACATGACGCCTCAGTGAGCATTTTTCCCAGTGGTCGACCATCGAAGCTTGCGAGAGTTGCTGGTTCTTGGGTCTTCCGAAGCTTCCGAAATGGGTTGAATCAGCTGCGAAGCTAGGGAAGGGAGCCCAATCATTTGCGAAGCTTGCGAATCAAAATGAATCAACTCGTACTTCCGACTGCCTGCTGAGGAGCTAAAGCCTTGGCGATCTACAGGGCGTGCAGGGAGTTCATCTGGGCCCAAGAGTCAAGACAAACGCCGAGTCCAATGAGTCTCTTCAATTGAATTTGCCGTGGGCAGTCCTCCGTCTTCAACGTGCTACAAAGGAATATTGAATAATGTGAAGACTTCGAGTCAAGGTGTTCCTTCACTATTTCCGGCCTGGTATGTCGGCCTCTTCTTCTGCACCTGATCGCTCCCAAAGAACACAGCTGCAACTCTCCCTGAAAGGAACAAGGAAATGTAGGGACCCCTGTCAGCAAAATCCAAATAAGTGACATACTAAGACCCGATCTCCCAGTATCCAGCGGCTCCCAGTATCCAGCGTCTCTCTCTTGCCGATATCCCGCTGCGAAGCCATTGATTCGGCATAGCCAGGTACCTGAAGCAAATGACGTGATATCCTGGGGGATAGTCTAGAGACAAAATGTTCCATAAAAGGATAGAATGCTTATGGACCAAGGTCTATACAAAAAAAAGCAAACAAACAACAACGTAGCAGCTATAGTATATTATAGTATGCAGCTCTGATTTCATTCACGTGGCTTGAGAGGAATGTTTTTGGGTTGATTCCAATGGCTTCTCTGAGGCCAGAGCTGATCTCAGCAGTGTGCTCCAGAACGTCAAGCTGCGTCGACTCTAAAAAGCTCCCGTCTTTTTGTTGAAGGGCAACCATACATCTCCTGGATGCGCTTGGGAGCGTCCAATGTGGATGATGTAAATGAAACACGTGTTTCCATGCATTTGAATCATTTGCGGCAAATGACCGGTCTGAGCGTATTCTTTCGCTACTTCAATCCACACCCAGCCTCAAGCGGTCGGTGCTTTCTTTGTCCCCCAGCATGGCAGCAGCACAGGCGGTGCCATAGGCTGTCGGGGCTGTGAAGAAGTTCTTGCATCCCTTCAAGTAGCGCAGCCTTCGCACCGTGTCGATCATGTGACGCGCGAATTCTCCGGCCCTGGGGTCAAAATAGACCTGGCGGTATTGCTCTGCTACCCAGCATGTCGGTTTATTGTCAACAAGCACCTGGCAAAATCGTTGAAGAAACAGGTTTCATCAGGTGTCCAACCAGTGGTCGACCCGAAATCGGCAAACTGAAAGCATCTGAAAGCAAGGAGCAGCTCTTCTGCCACAGATCGATACTTCTGCTTTGCAGACTCAGCCAGACTCCTGCCGAGCACATTTCTTTGAGTCCAACTCAGATTTGTTTTGCAGCATTCTGATTCCTGGTTGCCTCGCGTCTGACTTAAACATATCCACATGAGATCAATGTGATGTCTGTCTTTTCAAGCCGACATGTCCGGCACCTGAAGGATGTTGCAACCTCGAGCAGAACTGCTGTGGGTAAACCCATGAGAAAATAGAGCCTTGGTGTGGCGCGCTTGCTCAGTCCAAACGTAGCAAGAGGAAGGTCGCGAGCGACCCCCGACAGGAATTCAATCAAAACCGCCACTGCGAGTGCCACCACGCAACTGCTGTTCTCCAGATGTGCTCACACAATACAGAGGGTCCTCAGCACTGAAACACGTGCATGCATTGACTCTGCCTGTCCGACAGGGATGTCTTCTCTGGATTCTTTCCCCCACCTGCCTCAACTCTCTCAATAAATCCATCTGCCCATGTCCAGCGAATGAAGAATCGGCCGCTGGCCATAAATCTCCTGACAAGTGCAGCGATCAATCAACACACGAGGTTGCCCAACGGCCAAAGCAATCGAAATGGCGGCATGATGCTGTTTTCAACTTGGATGAAAGGTGATGAAAGGGTGCTTGCGAAGTCGGCGCAGTTTTTTCAGTTCATCCTGTTGGCATCCACCGCACGCAGAAGCGAATCCGCCGCCGCCAGTGCAATGTGCTCTTGGCCACCAAGAATGGCTGCCTCTCACCAGGGGTCAGTGATGAATGTGAAGTTCTGGAAGATCTAGGAAACATCTGAGCCCAGTGGTGCTGTGGCTTACATCTGGATCTTATATGGCCTAATTGTTTGCCGCATTTTTCAGTGAAAAGACGAGACGCCATCAAAAAACAAGACCGTTCTTCACAGTTGCAAACATGTGCTCAAAATCCGACGGGGAAAGAAGTCGTTTGGACGCCTAAATACACCGCTTCTTTTTGGTCTCTCACCAAAAAATGACGTCCTTGAGAAAAATTACCGTAACGGATCGTAACGGTATGTAACGGTATTCTTTTCTGAAAAGGCAATGATGTGCGCCGTTTCGAAGATCAATTTCAACGGCTTCTATTGACGTCGGCCGATTTCAATCTTCCATCCATCCTTGACAGTCACACCAAGTTGACAAAAGTATCAGGTTCAACTCTGATGGCCTTCAGGCGACGCTACCGCTGGACTACGGAGTCGACGCCACAGAAGTGCGCACCTTCGCAAGCACCGCAGTCGCAAAGAAGTCGGCCTGCGATGACTTGACTCACCAATGAAATGGAACAGGCATTGACTTTACCATTGGAAAAAACAAAGAATTGGATCTGCCCAGGACCCAATCTGATGTTCCAAGTAGCAGCGGCAGAATCTCGATCATTTTGCCCATGTTTTAGCCTTCATACAGTCTTCGCCTCGATGTGTCCATTTCCATCGACTCCTCTACCTGCCTCCTTCGAGTCCTTCGAACATGCAAATCGGATGAGCCGCCCAGCCATGCCCGCCCATCTCTCGCTCGTCCGCTCACCTCCCCCAGTTGAGACCACGCGCCACCGTAAAAAAAAAGAAACGACCTCACCACCAGGACCCCCTAAGGGGTGGTTAATGAACACCCCTTAACTGCTAAGGGGCCATAATTAGACACCCCTTCAGGGGAGGCATACGTCGCCTCATAGGTGGCATTCCATGCATAGGGCTCCAAGATGAGCCCACTGCTGGTCAAGGGATGCCTCAGACGTAGCTGCTACGAGAGGCATAGAAAGAGACACCTGGGCCCCCCAAAGGGGCCGATAGTACAAATCAAGATACCAAACCCGAGTCTGTCAAAAGAAAGAAGACGATCTGAATCGAACATGACCAAAGGGATTACTTTTAAGACATGTCGAAACCTGCAGCTGTTTCCAAATGTCCGATTGCTCACTCGGCAGTCGATCTGTCGTGTCGTCGAGTTCCAGACCGATAGCTGAAGATGCTTTGAGTGCATCTCCTTAGACACAAAGCAAAAGCAGTGAAGGACAGGTCATTGATTATCAGACCCTGAGATTGTGTGATTCAAAACGCCCAATGAATCCAAATGAGACCTGTTGTGACATGTTGTTGCATGATTTTTGCGCGGTTCCAGCAC